GTCCAGCAGGTCGCGCATCTCCTCCTCCTGCCACGCGTGTGGGTATCGAGTGCAACGTCTTGGGACTGTGGCCCGGCGCAGTCCTTGCCTTGCCTTGCCTTTGAGCCTCCGCATCTACGGCGAATAGGGCACTTCGACCTCTGGGGGGCCCCCGAGGCAGACTTGGAGCCTCCCAACGGGGGGCCGCGCAGAGGGGCACGCTCTGACTCCTCGTGTGGGGCAGAAGGCAGGGCGAAGGGGGGCAGCTGGCGAGGGCCATCCTCAGTAGGAGACTGCGAACGTCCGCCGACCGACACCAGTGATTTTGCGTGCGCACGCTCGATCTTCATGCCCCTGGCCTCGGTGCGGCGCCGGGCTGCCCGATCTCCCCCGAGGCCCGGGGGAAGGGGCATCTGGCAGGCTGCGAGCAGCACCCGGAGGGCGCCACCGCACTGGCAGCTCCTGGCGACTTGGCATCGCTCGGACGTGTGCATTTTTCCCCGGCAAGGACCATCGACGAGCATTTCTCAGTAGGGGAAAAAACACACAGACACAATTAATCGTCGATTCCCAGGAAAATATGGGAAAATATGGGAAGTGGGGGGGGGAAGACAAAAACCTAGAAAATATGCGAAAATAATTATGGGGAATCTGTTGATTTGTGTGTATTTATTTGTGTGTCCCAGGGCCCCTTCAATTTCGGGCCATCGTGCGACAAAAAGACGACAGAAACCGACAAGTGCACTTGGAATGGACGTCCGAGCGATGGCCTTGCGAGCTCGGCAGAGCGGCGGATCCAGCGCCCAGGTCGGCCCTCCCGTGCCTAGGAGGAGTCGGCTTGCAGGGGGAGGCGGGCGCGGGGGGGGCGCCAACGATCGCGCCGATTCCATCGCGGCCCGCTGCCCCTTCCCGGGACTGTCAGGAATCCTCCGGGCCCAGTCGGCCTCGCAGTCGGCGCCGGCGTCGCGTCGCCCGCGAGCGCCAGCCGGCGGGCGGGCCGACCTTGTTGCGCATGTTCGGCGCGAGAGACCCGCGCGGGCCTCGCGCTGTGCCCGCGCCCCAGGGCGACGGCCCAGGCCACTGTAGCCTCCCGCGCTGACGCGATGGCCTCGCGCGCGGCGCAGGAGCGGGCGCCGCCGACCGTTCGGTTCGGTTCCGCACACTTCTCATGCGAGAACGCAAAGCCCCCATGCTGCGCGCGCTTTGCGTGCTGAGCAATGCGATGCAGTTGCGACGGCCGCGCGTTCAATTGGAAACCGCAACGCAAGTTTCCATTCCCGCGCGCGGGGCGGGGCATGAACTTACAGATGCGCCGACGGTCGAGAACTCGCACGCGCGCCCGCGCCTGCCATGTTGGGCGTGCGCACTGGGCCCGGAAATCTGTGGCTCGGCCGCCCGATGCGCCCCAAGAATCGCTCCGCCCCCCCCCCCCCCGCCCCCCTCCCCCTCAAAACTCTTCCGCGCTCCTGGAAAAACCATGCCGCCGAGGCGGGAGCTCGGGCCGCGGCCTGATGGTCCGGGGCACAGGGGAATCAAAGGAATCAGTACGGAATCAGTGCAGAATCAAAACAGAATCGGCACAACTGCGACCCCTGATTCTAGCGGAACCAAAAGAATCAGCACGGAATCAGTACGGAATCAAAGGAGGAATCGGCGATAGAACCAGAATCGGCCAGACCGGAAGTAGGCCAGAATCGGTGCCAGAACCCATGGAGAGAGGCCTTTTCCCGCGAGTTCATTGCGGCGGGTCCGCGGCGCGGGCGCGCCGCGCGACTTCGTTGGTTCAGCGAGGCGCGCAGTCGGCGGTCAGAGTGAAGAGGTTGTTTTCAGGGCGATATCCTGGCGGCGCGCTGGCGCATTGCGCATTTGCTTCGTGGCGGGCTGTTTGAGGGCGACCCGGCAGCGTCGGCCGAATGACCCGCAAATACCGCGCGGCCGCTCGCGCGCCCCATGCGGTCACGTCGACCGCCCTGTGCCGCGACGGCCGCGCGCCCCGGACCGCGCCATTGCCGCGTTGGATTGGACGGCGCAGCGCCCGTCCTCCAAAAGTCGTTACATGCATATCGCGCGTGTCGAGCCAGCAGCAATCGCTCCCAAAAGCAGCCTTGACAAGCGCCCCATGCCCGTTGTCGCCCGGTTCCGATCCAAATCATAGTTTCTTAGGATGCGCTTGCGCGAATGTGAGCGCGCGGGCAAGTAGCGCGTGCTCGCTTGGCGCAGCCTGGGAAATCCAACATGGAGCCCCCCGGGGGCGCGGGGCGCCGGCGACGCCTCCGCCCGCCTCCCGCGCGCCCGACCCCCCCCGCAAGCCGACTCCTCCTATCCGTGCCAGCGCGTTGGCCCCAGCGCCTGGACAGAGGGCGTCCCCTCCACGGTCAGCGTCACCTTTGAGTCGGGCCCGTCCCTCTACAGGAGGAAAATTCAAAAATAGTAACAAAAATAGTCTGGGGACTATTTTTTTAAGTATGTTTTGACTATGTTGGAGTATGTGTTGGCTATTTTTATTTTTCGTCGAAAATCCCCCTGTAGGGGGACAGGCCCGACTTAACGTTACCTAGGCGAGCGAACTCGAGCGTGCACGCTGGTGGACCCCGCTCTGCACGCGGCGCCGCTCCAGTGAGGCGCGCAATTCGTCCGAGGGGCCTGGGAGGTCGGCGACCATGGCTCGCCGACCGGCCGCCCACTCGGCGGGTATAGCCAGGGCCCCGGGTAAGGGGACCCGGTTGGTGGTAGGGCCCCAGGCGCTCCCAGGCGCTCCCAGGCGCTCCCAGGCGTTCCCAGGCGCCCCCGGGCGCCCCTGGGGGTCCTCAACTGGCCAGATTCACTAAACCAGGTTTGCCGTAACTGGTGTTTTTCGGGTGACGGCAGTTCCGGTTAGTGGAACCCCCCGGTGCAGATCACTAAACCAGGTTCCACTAAACCCAGTTCTGCCAACGCCCGAAGGTGCCCTTGGCCCCGGGTGCCCCCAACCTTTCGCTCAGTGGACCCCTCTGGGCCTCGTGAGGGGTGCGTTACGTTGGAGGCCGTGGAGGCCCCCTTGGAAATCCTGGGGGCACTTTGGGCCAGAGAAACTTCTAGCAACACCCGATCTGCGCCTTGATCCGTTCGGAAGGCCGCCAACCTTCCGACCCAGGCGCTGCCGGCCACGCGCAGAGAGGGAGAGGGGTAGGGGGGAGGGGGGAGGCTTCTTAGAAGCACCCTGCTTCTGAGAAGGCGCGCGCCTTGTCTATAGATGTAGGGCCGGCGCCTTCTAAGAAGCAGACTCCTCCTTGGACGCCTCCCCCCTCCCCCTGCCCCCTTGTGCGTGCCGCTAACGCTGGAAGCGCCAGCCCGGATGTGGACGCCCGAAACAATACGGAAAACGGGTGCGATACCGACAACGAATCTTGTCCAAAACAGGCAGCGGCCACTGCTGGGCAGCCCGCCTTCTACTTCACATGGGCAAGATCCGCAGGGACACCGGTAGGGAACCCGGCGTAAAATGAACAGGAACTGCTGTCGGTCTCCGTGCCCATTCTCCCTGCACCCCCTTCAGGCCGATCCTTTCTCCCCGCACCCTTTCCTGAGGCGGCGCCGGCGCGAATCGTGACGTGGCCTGGGGGGGGAAAGGGGAGGAGGAGGAGGAGGAGGAGGAAAAGGAGGAGGAGGAGGAGGAGGAAGAGGAGGAGGAGAGGAAGGGGGAGCGGGGCCGGTCGCGAGCGCTCCCGCGATTGATACACCGGGCGCCAGCCCAGGGGCTCGCGCAGGAGCCTCCGGACTCTTCCGCCCGAGCCGCCCCCCCGTGGTGCTGCGCCGTCGCGGCGCTCTCGTCCCACCCACCCCCACCCTCCCTCCCGGCAGCCAGGCTTCAGTCGGGAAAATTGTCAAAAAAAAACCTGGGGACTATTTTGTTGACTATTTTGGAGCATCTTGGCCGTACTGCTTGAGTATTTTTAGTTTTTCGCCCAAAAATCCCCCTGTAGGGGGGCATGCCCGACTCAAGGTAGCCAGGCCCGCCGTGCAGGAGAAGGGCCCAGGTGAGGAGGCGCTCTGCGGTCGGCAACCTTTCGCATGGCGTGTCGCGCCGCCGCCTCGATCTGCCCCATCGGGCACGATTCGCTCTCTTGTGCTCCTCCTCCTCCTGCTCCTCCTCCTCCTCCTCCTCCTCCTCCTCCTCCTCCTCCTCCTCCTCCTCCTCCTCCTCCTCCTCCCTCCTTCTCCTCCCCCCTCCTCCTCCTCCTCCTGAGTTCTGGCGTCGCGCGTCGCGCTGGCCGGTCCTGGCCCACCGCGCTTCGGCGCGACGCGCTGTCCGCGTCGCGGTCCCCGGGCGTCCGCGCCCCGAGCCTCTCCCGGCCTCTTCCCTCGCGGCGCGGAGCGACACGCCATCCTCAGGAGGGGAAAAAACCCACAGACACAATGAATCGTCGATTCCCCAGAAAATGTATGAAGATATGGGAAGTGGGGGGGAAGACAGAAACCCAGAAAGTATAGGAAAGCATGGGGAATCCTTTTATTTGTGTGTATTCATTTGTGTGTCCTGGGGCCCCTTCACATCCGCTCGCAAGGCATGGCGCGTCGCCGGGGCCGCCGCCGCGACACGCCAGGCCGAAGTTTCCAGCCTCAGGCCCCGGGGCTCGCCCCAGGGCCAGCTCTGCATCCCCAGGCGTTCTCGACGGGCTCCGCGGGCCCGCGGAGGGCCCCGGGGGCCCCCGAAGGCGAGGCTCGGGGGTGGACAGAACCCCCAACAGTGACACGTCGACCAGTGAATTGTCCGTTCTCGGTTCTCGAGAGGGCGCCGTGGCCGTTACTTTCCAGGCTTGCGCCCGCCAGGTTTGGGCCTCAGGTCGTGTTCACTAAGTCACGTTGTGCTAAAGGGGGGTCTGTCCACCCCCGAGATGCGCAGATTGCAGGGCCCATTTCCTCCAGGGCCCGGCTCCGTCCTGCTGACCTGTCCTCCCCGCGTGCCCTCTTGCAGCCAAGGCAGGTGGCTCGAAGTTCTCCCCGCCGCCTGCGCAGCGCGCATCCACGCACGCACTGGGGCCATGTCGTACGCAGGCGCGCTCCTGCGGCCTGCACCGCGGGGCTGCGCGTGATGTGGAGGGAGGTCGGGGGCGGCCCGGCTGCGCGTAGGGTTCGGGAGGTTCGTGTTCTTGTTTGACGGTTTCGTCGGTTCTCGGAGGTTTTCTCGCATCGTGGTGCTTTCCAGCAGTTGCGCTTCGTCGAGGGCGTTCTGGAGGTGCCCGGGTCGTCCACAACGGCCGCCGAAAGCCCGTGATCCGAAAACCAGGAGCCGCCGCGACGGAGTGGTCTTTTGCCGGAGTGGCCTGCAGTACGGGCCTACAGGGTCCTCCCAACATTGGCCTGCACGCGCGCTTGGATTTGCCCCCCCCCACCCCCCCCCTCCTCCCTCCCCGCGGCTCTCAATCAGGCCCACGTGCCTAAGGTCACTCTTGCCTGAGGTCACTCTCTCGGCGTGATTGCGCGGCGTGTGGCCGAGACGTGTGCGCGGGAGTGGGACGGGGCTGCCACTTCGGAGCTATGGTTAAGTCGGGCCCGTCCCTCTACAGGAGGGAAATTCAAAAATAGTCAAAAAGTAGTCTGGGGACTATTTCTTGAGCATTGTTTGTCCATTTGGGACTATCTTTTACTATTTCTCATTTTTCCTCCAAAATCCCCCTGTAGGGGGGACAGGCCCGACGTAAAGATGTGGGTGAGGAGTGGAGCGCCTGCTGTCCTTGCAATCGCGCAGGGCCCCAGAGGTCTCGGAGGAGCCGGAGCGCCCGCACCAGAGGCCGGGCAGCTTCGGGGGCCGGGCGACAGAGTTCTCCGAGTTTCTTGAGGAGCGTCCGAGGATAGGGACAGGGTGGGGGATAGGGAAAGGGTCTTGGGGGGCCAGATGCGAACCCTACCCCTACCCCCCACGAGTTCTGAGGGGGGGGGTTAGGGGTTCACTTCGCTCGGGAGCTCCCGAACGAAGTGAACCCCACCCTCCCCCTCAGAAGTCGTGGGGGGTAGGGGTAGGATTCGCATCTGGCTCCCTAAGGGTTGGATAGTGTGGGAAGGCAAGGGGATGGGTAGGGTAGGGATTGGGTAGGGTAGGGTAGGGTAGGGTAGGGTAGGATAGGGACAGGGAGAGGGTGGGAAGGGATAGGGAAAGGGCCTGGCCGCACGGAAGGGCAGGATCGGCACAGGGCGGGTCACGAAAAACCTTGTGCGTGCAGCTGGTTTCCGAACCCGCCCGCCGGGCCCATTCCTCGACAGCTGGGCGCCTCTCGGTGCCAGGAGGCGCTCGGACAGCCAGCTACGTGAGCTGATTCGCCACCCTGCCCTCTGCTATCATGCCCTCTCTCCCCCCCCGAACGGAGACTCGGCTGCGCGTCAGAGTGGCCTCTCGCCAGAGTGGCCCTCCGGTGCGCTGCTTCCAAAGGGGGGGGCGCAGAGGGCCTAGCCCAGAGCACGCAGGCCGCCGCTGTCGCCTCGCACGCGACGATCGGAAAGCCGCGCACCAAGATCGGCGACGAGCGAGGGGGAGAAGTGAGAAGGAGAAGGCCTTCTCAGAAGGCGGCGAGGCTTCGCAAAAGCCCTCGCGCCTTCCGTGAAGTTTCTGTGTCTTCGGGGAAGGCTCAGAAAGCTTCTCAGAAGGCCCAAGGACTTCAAGCCTTCTGAGAAGACCCGCCCCTTCTCACTTCCCCCCCAGGGCTCGCCGCCGACTCCTGCGTGTAGCCGAGAGACGGCGAGGCAGGACGAGCCCAAGAAGCCCCCAAAGGGGCAGGCCGCTTGGCAGGCCATCGCCGCAAGCTCCAGAGGGCCCGCAGCCTGGCAGCCTGGCAGCCCCTGTGGCAGCTTGGGCTGAGGGGCAGGGGGGGCCGGGAGGCGTCGGCGACGTGTCGGGGGCGGAAAAGAGGGGGGTGATGATTAGGGGGGGGGATATCATGGCGGGGGCCATGATGTTTCCCCAGATCTCATGGCGCCCCTTCTTATTTCATTACGTCCCTGCCCCCCCCGCTGGGCCGCGCACATGCCGCCGGCCATGATTTGCACCCCCCCTCTTGGACACCCCCCTCTTGGCCGCTCCCGAACGTGGGGGTGCGGACGCAGGGGCCGCTTCTCGGGTGCCCAGGCGCCGTTCCGTAGACGCACGTCCACGGGATGGCGAGCCCGTAAGAACATACATAGGCATTACGAACCAGACCCAACGGTCACGCGTACGCGCAGTCTGTTCTGTCGACGGCTTCTGCGGGTGCGTTGTTGCCACAACCAGAGCGTCGCCGCGAGCCACCAGTGCCGCTCTCGCTTTAGCGGCTTTCTTCAGGAATGTGGCCCGACGTGTAACAGTTGGCGCGCAAGCATGCGGCGCAGACACGAGCGCATTCATCAGGCAGTAGGTGGGCCTCTGGACGCGCGCACACAATGACACGCGATCGCATGGGGTTCATTCGATCGTACCAAGTGGTGGATACAGGATGACGGCCAAAGGCCTCAGTGGTGACAGTCGAACTTGTCCCACTTTGGCTGAGCAGGCTGGAGGAGGCGCTCTAGGAAAAGGAAGGTCGGGGCTCGAGGAAGTGTCTGAGGAGGGCCCGGAGAAGGCGCCGGAAGAGGGCCTTCTGGAGCGACTGGTCAAACGCCAGGCTTCCTTAGGGGCTCCAGGAGGGACTTCGTGTGAGCTTCACGAGGAGGCTTCAGGGTGAGCGTCGCGAGGGGCTCCAGGTTGGGCTTTATGAGGGATCTGGGATGGTGTATCCGAGGAGCCAGGGAAGGCCTCGGAGTGGTGCTGCAGGACGGGGAGGGGCCTCGGTCGGCATGTCTGGGGAACCTCGTGGGCGATCCGGGAGTTGCTGGAGTGGCCTCGGACGGGGCCCCGGGGGGTGGGGCGTCTGGGACGGCTTCAGGAAAGGCCTCTGGAGGGAAGGTCGGCATCGTTTGTCCGACCCCATCCCCATCCCCATCCCCTTCAAGACCCCCACCAAATTACCACCCCAGTTGGGGATGCACCCCTCGAAACCCGAAGGGAACGACCCATATCCCCATCCAGGGGGGTAAATCGGCCGGTGGGGCCCAGGCCACGCCGCCGGGGATGGGGATCGGCTAAACGATATTCAGAAGGGCGCCTTCAGAGCCGCTGCAGGGGGGGATCGCGAGGGGAGGCGGCCTCAGAAGCCCCAGGGGGGCGCGGGGGGGAACTGACGCGGGCGGGCGGGGGGCGGCGCGGTACGGAGGCGAGGCGGTATGCCGACAAAGCGGGGGACGCCAGCAAAGTGGAACGCCAGCGAGGTGGTCAGGCGAAGCGGTTTTCGGGTTGACCCAAAAGGGGGTCCAGCGACAAGGGGGTGGTGCAATAGATTTGGTGCAATAGATCTGTGGGGTTGCAATACGTTGGGGGCGTGCAATACATTCTGGGGCGCAAATGTATTGCTGGATTTTCGCGTGCAATGCATTACTTGCAACACAATGCAATACAATTGTCCAGCGCAATACGTTTGCAATACAATCGCCCCAAATCTATTGCACCACCCCCTTGCACGTGCGGGGAGGGGGCGCGTTGGTTCGCGTGCATCTAGTGGTTGTTGCCCGCCTGCGTGGCGGGAGAAGGGGTGTCGGTTGACTACGTGTATCTCCCACACGGCAATCTCGCCCGGAGGGCTAGGATACTTGTCAGAGCCTGGAGCTGCTGTATTACTATTTCTATGTGTTTGTTTTTGTTCCTCTCTCTCTCTCTCTCTTACCCCCTCCTCCTCTCTCTCTCTCTCTCTCTCTGTATTTCCCTCTTCATGCCCTCTCTGTTTCTTCCTCTGTTTCTCCCTCTCTTTTTCTCTCCATCTACACCTTTATCGCCCTCTCTCTCTCGCCCCCCCTATTGTTTTGTTTTCTCTCTCTCTCTCTCTCCCTCTCTCTCTCTCTCTCTCTCTGGGCACAGGCCAGCATTGCACCAGGACCCGCAGCTTGGCATCGATGATGCCCTGGCATGATGGGCCGCCTCCTTGGCTCGGACGGCTCTCTTGGGCTGGGACTTACGTCATTCCCCAGGTGCGCTCGTCCAGCTCGCGCACAAGTTCGTGACCGCGCCCCAGGCGTCGTCCCAGGGCTTCTGCAACGTCATCAAGGATCGCGCAGTTTTCTCTTTGGAGAATCGGCCATTCCGAACCACAGATCGATAGAAATGCCCAACCTTGCCATTGTCTGCCTCGTGAACGCGGTGTGCCACATGTTGACCATGATTCGAGCATACACAGCCGGTCTGGTGTTGTCGAGATGCGCCTGGGCTCTTGGTGCGACGTTTCCGAGGGGTGGGATAGGGGAGAGCAGAAATAGACGCAGAAGATGCAGGAGGCATGGGATCCCGCGACGGACAGGAAGTGAGCATCGGAGATTGCAGCCAGAGCTGGAGTTGGAGCCGGATCAGAATTAGACAGAGGAGAAGAGGGGACAACCAGTGGAGGTCTGGCCTCCTCCAGTCCGCGTGGCTGGCGGCAAAGACGCGGCAATCCAGCTTGGAACGTTCTGCCGCACAGTCGTCTGGCCGCGGTTCCTAGGGGCGCCCAGTTAGTCAGAAGCAACGCTGCCTGCGGGGAGGATGCAGAGGGAAGGGAAACAACCGAGGCAGAGAGAGAGATAGAGAGAAAGAGAGAGAGAAACAAACAACACATATGGAGAGAGAGAGAGAGAGAAAGAGAGGTGGAGCGAGACACAGAGAGAGAGAGAGAGATGGAGAGGGAGATATTGAGAGGGAGAGGAAGCGGGAGATAAAGAGAGAGAGAGAGAGAGAGAAACAAAAAACAGCATAAACAAATTAGCCTGACGAAGGACCCAACCATATGCAGCTGCGAGTGCCGCATAGTGGGTACCGCTTTCGGAGGAGCTCCCTGTGGGGCCACGAAACGTGGTGCGCCGAAATCGGTGGCGCGGACGCATGTGAATAGTGCCACTGGGGCCTTCGGTGGAGCTCCCTGTAGGACCACGAAACACTGTCCTAGGTTGGGGAGACGCATGCGAACGGTACCACTGGGGCCTTCGGATGAGCTCCCCACGGGGCCACGAATCGCTGTCCTAGGTGCACTGCCGCCTTCGGTGGAGCTCCCTCTCGGGCCACGAAACGCTACCATGGGTGGGGGAGCTGCATGCGAGCGGCGCCACTGGGACCTTCGGTGGAGCTCCCTGTGGGGCCACGAAACATTGTCCTGGGCGGGGGAGACGCATACGAACGGTGCCACTGGGGCCTTCGGTGGGGCTCCCTGTGGGACCACGAAACGCTGTCCCAGGTGGGGGAGACGCATGCGAACGGTGCCACTGGGGCCTTCGGATGAGCTCCCCATGGGACCGCGAATCGCTGTCCTGGGTAGGGGGGACGCATGCGAACGGTGCCATTGCCGCCTTCGGTGGAGCTCCCTGTGGGGCCACGGAACGTTGTTCGAGGTGCTGGAGGCGCATGCGAATAGTGCCACTGGGGCCTTCGGTGGAGCTCCCTATGATGCCACGAAACGCCGTCTTGGGTGGCGTTGACGCATGCGAACGATTCCACTGGAGCCTTGGATGGAGTTCCCTATGGGGCCACGAAGCGCTGTCTTGTGTGGCGTTGGCGCATGCGGCCTGTTCCACGGGAGCCTTCGGTGGAGCTCCCTCTGGGCCCACTAAACGCTGTCTTGGATGGCGTTGACGCATGCGGCCTGTGCCACTAGAGCCTTTGGTGGAGCTCCCCGTGGGGCCACGAAGCGCTGTCTTGTGTGGCGTTGACCCATGCGGCCTCTGTCACTGGAGCCTTCGGTGGAGTTCCCTATGGGGCCACGAAACGTTGTCTTGGGTGTCGTTGACGCACGCGGCCTGTGCCAATGGAGCCTTGGGTGGAGCTCCCCATGGCGCCGCGAAAGGCTGTCCTGGGTGGCGTTGACGCATGCGGCCTGTACCACCATAGCTTTCGGGGGAGTTCCCTATGGGGCCACGAAGCGAAGCGATGTCTTGGGTGGCGTTGACGCATGCGGCCTGTGCCACTGGAGCCTTCGGTGGAGCCCCCTACGGGGCCACGAAACGCTGTCTTGGTGGCGTTGACGCATGCGGCCTGTGCCACTGGAGCCTTCGGTGGAGCTCCTTCTGGGCCCACGGAGCGCTGTCCTCGGTGGCGTTGACGCATGCGGCCTGTGCCACTGGAGCCTTCGATGGAGTTCCCTTTGGGCCCACGGAGCGCTGTCCTCGGTAGCATTGACGCATGCGGCCTGTGCCATTGGAGCCTTCGGTGGAGCTCCCCATGGGCCCACGGAACGCTGTCTTCGGTGGCGTTGACGCATGCGGCCTGTGCCACTGGAGGGTTTTGTGGAGCTCCTATGGGGCCACGAACCGTGTGAGTGGTGTGCCGGAATGGGTGGGATGATGATCACGATGACGATGACGATGACGATGCGGATGGTGAGAAGGAAGAGGTAGAGGAGGAGGAGGATGAGGAGGAGCGGAAAGGAGGATGAAACGCGGGGCGTTGCCTCTTCTTGAAAACGAGGACCCAACACTACAGGATGGTTGGGGAAGAAGACGGAACGAGAGAGAGAGAGAGAGTCAGACAACGAAAGAGAGAGAGAGAGAGAGTGAACGAGAGACATATAAACGACGGCATACGTCAAGCGAAGGGAGTGTGAACGGACAGAGAGAGAGAGAGAGAGACAGAGAGACAGAGAGGCAGACAGAGGACGCAACTGACCCTCGTGCGGAAGAAAACATACCGAGGGCGATATTGCTAGAGGAGAGAGGCAGAGAGAGAGAGAGACAGAAAGAAAGAGTGTGAAAGCGAGGGAAACAGTCAGAGATGGATAGGGCGAGGGAGAGTGGTAGTTGGATTGGCACGTAGAGTGACCGAGTGCACCCCTCACTTTTTCAACACAGTGCCCTTCTTTCCACGCCGCTCATCTCACCTCCCTTTCGCTGCGAGCACCGAGCTGAGACACAACAGCTTTCCGTATCCATTTTGGCTCAAGGGGCCTTCTCCTGAATTTCCAACCTCGGCTCGAGCAGTTGAGCCGTGTTGCTTTGATCCCTTTTGAGCCTCACGGGCCTGGAACTCGCGACTCCAAGCGTCCTAGGTAGCCCGATTCCATTCCAGTTGTCGCCGCCGTGTTTGCGGCGCCGCAGTACACGTGGGGTTGGGGTGGGGGAGGGGAGGGGGACCACATGTCGGCAAAGGAGGCGGCGGCAAAGGTGGTGGGCTGCAAGCCCCGATGGTGCCATCCAGTCCGTGCGCGCAGCTACCTCTCCTCCCCGGGCTCTAAGGTGGGCGCGCTGGGCCAGGGCACGCAGCCACCAACGCCCCATCGGAAGAAGCCCAAGCAGGCCCCGCTGCCTGGTTCCTGGGCTTGTTCGCACTGCCGATGCTACAAGAACGACCCCAATTGCAACGCCTGCAAGCATCGTGGCTCGATTTGCAGTTTGCCCCCCTTCAGCGGTCCCCCACCACGCATGGGCGTCTGGGCGAGCTCGCCCCCACCCCTGGCCAATGGGGCAGCGGCTGGGAGGGTACGCCACATCGTCCTGCTGTTGGTGGACAAGATTCCGCAGTGTCTCAGCTGGGCGACGAAGAGTTTGATGCATTCGTCAACGCATTGGAGACAGCGGGAGATCCTGCAGGAGTTCAGAGAGACAGGCCATGCAGGCCGCACGTCGGCACGCCGCTAAGGAGTTCCCACGGCAGCAGCAGATCACTACGGAGTTTAATGTTTTACGAGCTGCTGAAGGGCGACTCGCCCGCGCAGTTCAGCACGCCGACCACCTACAGTTGCAAGTGAACCAACAACGCATCGAGGTCAAGCGGTTGGCGGGTGAGCTGCAGCGAGCGGAGGAATGGCGCGGAGCTCTCGCCAGACAGCTCCACTCGGCCGACCGCCCCCGAGCCTCTTCGACCCGCCAGGCTCACGGTGCGCAACGTCCTGGACGGACTTTTCGAGGACTTGCCCATCGAGCTCGGGGGCGCGCTCCAGCTGGAAGGCGAGGGCCTCGAGGGTGTTTCTGCGGAGCACATCGCCAAGGCGGGGGGTTCGCGAGCGGGCCCAAGCCCTTTTTGTTTGCAGCTGTCTCGAAGGCTGACGCCATCAGATCCGAGCAGAAAGACTTGCTCGCGCGTTTGTCTGTCATGAATCGTCGCACGGAGACGGGGGCCTCGGCACGTGGAGGGGGGGGGGGGGGGCGCGGGGGCGCACCTCCAGCGGAGTCCCGGGGGGGGCCGCCCCCGACGCCCCGCCAACGACAGTGGCGCAGCGGCCTCTAGCGCCCCAGCAGCCCCTGCAGGCCAGGAGTCTAAGCGCGACGCTCCTACGGGCATGGCCCAAGGGAGCAGCGGGCCCTTCGCGGGCCCGCGCGGCCGCCGTCGCCCACCCAAAGGCGGCCGCGCCTGAGGGGGCCCGCATGTGCTCTTAGCATTGGCCCCGCAAAGTCTCATAATATTTTTTTGTGCGCATCGCTGGGGCTTGCTGGGGGGGGCGTTGGCCGGCGCTCTGGACAGGGCTCGCAAGATCCTCGCCTCGAAGTTTTGCCCTGTATCCGAGGCCCTCGAAGCGCGCGGCACGAGCCTAATTAGCTGAATCCTCGATGCTGGGAGCCCCTGGCGACCCAGATGTTTTTCGCGTGTTTGCGTCGGGTATTTTCTCGGGATGGGGCTCGGCCCGAATGCGACTGGCCCAGACCGCGGCCGACGCTGTCTGCTATCAAGAACACCACCTGAGATCCCAGGAGGACCTCCTGCAGGCCTCGGCCTGGGCCCCGCGCCACGGGCGGGGATCTCTCTGGGCTGCGGCCCTCCCATGGGGCAACGGTGGCACCCGAAGGGGGCTTTAGCACCCTGGCAAGTCGCTCTTGGATCGCACCCGCTTGGGGGGGCACCAACCTGTTCGAAGGAAAAGCCATGGGTGGAATTTGTCAAGCACCAGGTGGTTGCCGCATCGCCGTCGTTTCTGTTTATCTGCAGCATGGCGTCGGCATCGCCGAGCCGAACGCATCCGCGCTGCGCGCGTGGGCGAGCGCGCCGGGCCTGCTGGATTGCCATGGCTTGCTGGCGGCGGCTTCAATGTAGAGCCCCCAGCCCCCCAGGCCTCGGACTTCCTCCGTTTCGCGGGAGGAACCCTTCTCGCCCCGTCGGGCCCCGCCTGCTCGACCGCGGGAGGAACGAGGACCGGCGGTCGCTTCCCACTCGCCCACGGCGTCAGCGCGGCCGCGCGATCGATCGCGCCCGATGGGATCTCGGACCTCGCCCCGCGCGCCCCCCCCTGCTCGCCCTTCCCCGGGCGTCGCCCGACTCGGGGCCACGGCTTGCCAGGAGCCCTCGCGCGCTGGCCTGGGCCGCATGGTCGGCCCTTCCGCCCCCCGCCAGATTTCGGCAGCATCCGCGCGGATCTGATTGAGGCGCTGCAGGCCGCGCAGCAGGGCAGAGGCGGGGCCGCGCAGGAAGGACTTGATAGGGTTTATCGGCATTGGGCCGACCATGCCGAACTTGATTTCTGCAACTTCGCGAACCAGGATTTGCCTCGGATCGGCCTTCGCGGGGCCGAACC